AGTAGAGCCACCCACCAGGACAATGTCATGGATCTGTGACTTGTCTAGTTTGGCATCCCGAAGGGCTTTTTCTACAGGGTCCAGGGTCCCATGGAACAGGTCTGCATTCAACTCTTCAAATTGGGCACGGGTAATGGAGGTATAGAAGTCGATTCCTTCATAGAGGGAGTTGATCTCAATATTGGCCTGGGTGCTGGAGGAGTGGGTGCATTTAGCCTGTTCCCAAGCAGTGCGAAGGTGGCGGACAGCTCTCTTGTTCTCACTGATGTCCTTCTTATGCCTGCGCTTAAACTTGGCGATGAAATGGTTGACCATGCGATTGTCGAAGTCTTCTCCGCCCAAGTGTGTATCTCCAGCTGTAGATTTGACCTCAAAAATCCCATCCTCAATAGTGAGGATGGACACATCAAAAGTGCCACCTCCCAAGTCAAAGATCAGCACGTTTCTTTAAGCTCCAACCTTTTTGTCTAGACCGTAGGCAATGGTGGCAGCAGTCGGCTCGTTGATGATCCTAAGCACATTGAGACCAGTGATAGTCCCAGCATCTGTGGTAGCTTGACGCTGAGAGTCGTTGAAATAAGCTGGCACAGTAACCACAGCATTGGTAACAGTCTTCCCAAGGTAAGCTTCTGCAATTTCCTTCATCTTGGTCAGAACCATAGATGACACCTCCTCTGGGTAAAAACTTTTGGTCTCTCCTTTGTATCCTACTTGCACCTTGGGCCTGCCTGCGTCATTCACCACCATGAAGGGCCAGTGCTTCATGTCAGACTGGACAACAGCATCATCAGCCTGGGTCCAATCAGACACTTGGCATCAAAAACTGTGTTGGTGGGGTTCATTGCAACCTGATTTTTTGCAGCATCACCGATCAGTCGTTCGGTGTCAGTAAAGGTGACATAGCTTGGAGTGGTTCTGTTCCCCTGATCGTTGGCAATTATCTCTACTTTGCCATGCTGGAAGACACCCATGCAAGAGTAGGTGGTGCCAAGATCTATGCCAACTGCAGGTCCCTTAGATATGGTTACTTCTGTGTAGGCCTGCCTTGGCTCACAAAGCTCACACACCAACCTCTGCAGCTGCTCCCACGTTCAATGAAAGTGGCAATCTCTTCTTCAGTCTCCTCCCAAGATCTTGGGCACACATGCACATGCACCTGGGTTAAGTTTTAAGCCACCAGGTCCAGTACTTGAACCACAGTTGGCCATGTGGTAGTCCAGCTATGTAACCGCTACACTGTCTACTGGCCCTCGAGACATCTTTTTTTTTTTATTTTAAATTTCCAGAGGCACGTGCACTCACCAGGAGTGAGAGAGAGAGAGAGGGAGAGAGAGAACCCCTCAATAGGGCATGTCCCTTCCCTGCAATCTTTTCTTCATTTCTCCTTCCTATTAGGATTCTGGGCACACAACAGGGACCTGGTGTGTTTTTAGAGATCACTGGGGCTAGGATTTGAACTATGGTCAGCCTGTGGGATCCTGCTACCCTTAATTGCTGTTCTGTGGAGCTGGCCCTGTCCTTTTCCTTTTTTTTTTTTTTGGAGAGGTTTTCGCTGTAGGGCGCGTGTGCTCGCCAGACAAACAGAGAGAGACAGAGAGACAGAAAGCGAGAAATAACCCCCCAGGGGGGATGGTCACACCACAATCCCTTCTCCTCCATTCTCCTCTTGGGATCTTGGGCACACATGCACACGCGCCCGGCGTGAGTTTTAAGCCACTGGGTCCGGGACGTGAACCGCGGTCGACTATGTGGGAGTCCAGCAACATAGCCATTACGCTAACTGCTGGTTGCCCCTGTCCTTTAAAATCTAGATGGAGGCTGCCAAACCTCCACAGTTCTTGAATCCTTTCCCTGCAAAATTACCTCTGCATGCACACCAACCAAGATCTGCCACTTGCATGTTCTGGAATGAGGATAGAGAGGCATAATTAGCAGTGAGTTGAGCCACATCTGGGACTGCTTGAACCATGGGCTTGAACTAATGAATGCTGCACTGAGAGGCAGAGAACAGAGCTAAGACAGCACAAGGCAATGAGTCTCCCCTTGACTGTCCCCTGACTATTCTGCTCTCTAAGTCTCTGGGTCTGTGATGGGAGGGGAAGTCTTGAAGATCTCTGAAATGCTCTATGGACCTTTTTCCGTCATTGTTTTGATCATTAACATTTGGATCTGTTCTATCAGTGCTAACATCTTTAGGAACTGGTTGTTAAGCCATACTCTTAGTTTTCTCTGCCAAAATGTTTCATTCTTTGCATGATAGTCTGTGAATTTTCTAAGTCTTTGTGCTCTGCTCCCTTTTTCATTTTTAATTCTATCTTTTTAAAAAGGTTCTTATAGCCAGCAGGTGGCATGGAGGTTAGGGCACTGGATGCCATATGGCCAACTGTGTGGTTCAAGTCCTGGACTTGATACCTTAAAAATCATTCCAGATACATGTGCACGCAGGCCCTAAATCCCAAAGAAACTGGAGGAGAAGGGATTGCAGCATGGCCATCCCCCTTGGGGGAGGTTACTTCTCACTTGCCTTCTCTCTGTTTCTCTTTCTTTGTCTCTCTCTGGAGAGCAATTGCACCATATAGCCAAAACCTTTTTTTTTTTTTTTTAAGAGAGATATTTTGCTAGAGGGCACATGCACTCACCAGAGCGACAGAGACAGACAGAGAGACAGAAAGTTATGGCCATGCCACAATCCCTTCTCCATTCTCCTCTTAGGATTTTGGGTGTGCACACACATACACCTGGCATGAGTTTTAAGCTGCTGGGTCTGAGACTCAAACCATGGTCAACTATGTGGGAGTCCAGCAATGTAACCATTATGCCATCTGCTAGTTCTGCCAAAAACTTTTTGTAAAAAAGGTTCTTATTTATTTCTTTGATGAGAGAGCAATAGAGATCACCCCAACAGGGTCCTGATACCATGATTCACTCCAGCCTTCAGCCAACCCCAAATTGTGGCCCAGTGTACTCAGAGAATTCTGTAGACATGAACCAGGAATTCTTTCATGTGGGATTGTCTTGCAGAGCATCATGTTTTATTCTGCACCAGTGTCTGGCTCTATTCAATTTTTAAGTCATTCCATTGCGCCTTCATTTTACTGTTTGCAGTTAGAAGGAACCACACAGCTCCTTCTACATTTTGCTTAAAACTTTCTTCTGCCAGATACCCTAGGTGACCACTCCTAAGCTTGGAATTCTAGAAAACTTTAGGGTGTGGATAAAATGCAGCTTTTTCCCCCAATGGCAAAACAAAATTGACCTATTCGCCAATTTCCATTTTCTTAATTTTCACCTGAGATCTCATCAGAATGGCCTTTAAAGTTCCTGTTTTTATCAGCATTATTCTCACAGCGACTTAACCAAACTTTAAATATTCCAGTTCTTTCCTAGTCCGTTCTTTCAATGCGCCCTCAGAATGTAGGCTTCTCTTTCCTGTTTTTCCAAACTCTTCCAACCCCTGCTCATTGCCCAGTTTGAAACCCACTTCCACATATTCAAGTATTTATTATTAATACTGTCCTTCTTCTCCATACCAATTTTCTGTTATAGTCCATTTTCTGTTACTAATAACAGAAATACCTGAATATGGATAACATATAAGAAGTAGAAGTTTATTTAGCTCATGGTTTGGGAAGTCCAGGTTCAGGGTGACACTGGTGAGACAGAGTAAGTGAAGAACCAAGCAAGAGCCAAGCAGGAGCACATAGATCCATGTCTCTGTGTGTCCTTATAAACCGATGAGTGCCCAATCATGTGGCCCACTATGATACCTAATCATTTCCCAAAGGCCCCATTTTCTTTCTTCTTTTTTTTTAGAGAAAGTTTTGTTTGTTTGTTTATTTTGTTTTGTTTTGTTTTGCTATAGGGTGCATTCACTTGCCAGACAGTCAGAGAAAGAGAGACAGAAAGTGAGAAATCACCCCTGGGGGGATGGCCACACAACAAACTCTTCTCTTCTATTTTCCTCTTGGGATTTTTAGACATACATGCACATGCACCCAGCATGAGTTTTAAGCCACAGACAGGGTCTGGAACTCAAACCATGGTTGACTACATGGGAGTCCAGCAACATAATCATTACACCATATGTTGGTACCCAAAGGCCCCATTTTCAACACCATAATTAGATTAATCCTCCACCCTCTCAACATCATAACAATGGCTCACCAAATTTCAATACATGCAATTTTGGGAGACACATTCAAAATGACACTAAATAGACTTTAACTTTGAAAAACCTTATCAGAGACAAATAGGTAAAGCCTATATTAATGAAAAGGTCAATACAATAAAATTATATAATAATTATAAACATTTACACACTTAATAACAGATCCTCAAAATATGAAGCAAAAAATGACATAATCAAAGGGGAAACAGACAGTTTCGTAATGAAGTTTGAAAAGTCAATACCCCATTATCAATAATGAATAGAGTAACCAGACAAAATTTAATTAGGAGGCTAGAAGACTTAAGAAACAAAATAAGGGGCCAACAGATAGCATAGTGGTTACATCACTGGAATCCCGCATGGCTGACCACAGTTTGAGTCCTGGACCTGGTGCCTAGAAAATTATGCCAGGTGCATGTGCGTGTGTGCCCAAGATCTCATGAGGAGAATGGAGGAGAAGGGATTGTGGCATGGCCACCTCCCCTGAGGATAATTTCTCACTTTCTCTCTTGCTGTGTCTGTCTGTCTCTTTCCAGTGAGCACACATATCCTAAGGCAAACACCTCTAAAGAAAGAAAAGAAAGAGAAAGAAAGAAAGAGAAAAAGAAAAAAATCTTAAAAAAAGAAAGAGATAAAATGAAAATTTACTGAAATTTATGCAGTGAAAGCTATGCTCAGAGGAAAACTTACAGATGTTATATTTAAAAGAAGAAAGTTGGGACCAGCAGTTGGCGTAATGGCTCCCATGTAGTCGACCACTTTTCGAGTCCTGACCTGGTGGCTTGAACTCACACCGGGTGCGTGTGTGCGTGCTCAAGATCCCGAGAAGAGAATGGAGGAGAAGGGATTGCAGCATGGCCATCCTTCCTGCGGGTGTGATTTCTCACTTTCTGTCTCTCTTGTCTCTCTCTGTCTTTCTGGTGAGCACACATGCCCTATAGCAAAAACCTCTCAAAAAAAGAAAAAAAAAAAGGAAGAAAGTTTAGGATCAGCAGATGGCATAGCATTTACATCTCTGACTCCCACATGGCTGACCGAAGTTCGAGTCTCAGATCTTGTGGCCTGAAAATCAAGCCATCATTATAAAAATGCTCAAATACTAAGATTAGAGGGAAAATTCCTCAACATAATAAAGGATTACCAGCCCACAGTTAATACCATACTCAAAGGTGAAAGATATAAAGCTTTACCCTAAGATCAGGAACAAGAATGCTGGGCATGTGTGTATGCGTGCCCAAGATCCTGGGAGGAGAATGAAAGAGAAGGGATTGCAGCATGGCCATCTCTCCAGGGGGTGATTTCTCACTTTCCCACTCACTGTCTCTGTCTTTTTCTCCAGTGAGCATACATGCCTTAAAGCAAAAGCCTCAAAAAGAAAAAAAAAAGAATTAATAATCTAACTTATATCTTAAGGAGTCAGAAAAAGAAGAGTAAGCCAAACCTAAAGCTGGTAGAAGGAAATAAACATTAAAGACTAGAGCAGGAATATAGAAAATAGGAAAAAGTAGAGAAAATCAATAAAACCAAAAAGTTGGCTTTTTTGCAAAGGTCAATAAAATTGACAAACCTTTACTGACAAGACTTAAAAGCAAAACCCACAAACAGGAGAGGAGGAAAGAAGGTATTATACTAACTGTTTGGAGACAATTATCTTTGGCTACCAGGATCAAAGATGAGGATGGTGATGGTCCAAGGCTGGACAGTCTCTGGGCAGATGTTTTGGCAGAAGTCAGGTTTCAGTGGTCTCCATTCGAGGTTATGGTTCCGGCCAAGTTCTCTAAACAACAGTTCTTGTTATCAGGCATGCTTGTATGAGAAAGCACCTCCTCCGTGGCCTTCCCAGCTGTTTAGTCTGAGTTAACAAAACTCCATTTTGATTCTGAAAAACTTTCACATATCACCCTAAGTGATCTGCAGAGTCAACACAACGCCTATCAAAATGCCAATAGCCTTTTGGGACCAGCAGTTAGCGTAATGGCTATGTCGCTGGACTCCCACGTAGTCGACCGCGGTTCGAGTCTCGGACCCGGCGGCTTAAACTCACGCCAGGCGCGTGTGCGTGCGTGCCCAAGATCCCGAGAAGAGAATGGAGGAGAAGGGATTGCGGCGTGGCCATCCCCCCTGGGGGGTGATTTCCTGCTTTCTATCTCTCTGTCTCTCTCTGTCTGTCTGGCGAGCGCACGCGCCCTATAGCAAAAACCTCTCTAAAAAAAAAAAAAATTCCAATAGCCTTTTTATTTTTAATGGAAGCATATTCTTAAATCTGTATGAAATTACAAGAGACTCCAAATAGCTAAAAATAATAGGAATTTAAGATATTTTAAACAGCAAGAATAATTTTTTGAGCTAATCCCTAAGTGCTCTCAGGATATTTGCTGGAGAAGGAACATTCCAAATTTGCCTCAGATCTTTGTGACCTGCTCTGCTTAGTGTAGTCTGGATGGTAATTTGAAAAATGGCCCTTTACGGGTCAGTCATTCCCTGTGTGCCTAAAATGACAATTCGACCTGTCAGAATGTTTTCCTATTACTGCCTAAGGTATTTGCTTACTTGCATATTTTATTTGTTCTAGAAAAATAAATGGAAGCTGTAAGAATCTAAACACTGACATTACAATGATCACAGAGGGGTGGGAAAGAAACAAAAGTAGCTAGAAACCTTGCTAATTCTGTCTCCCCATTAGCCAGGGTTCCCCATTTACCCAAAGGCACTTGCACAATGACACGAAGTCTCACTTTCAAGACACCACGGAAAAGGGACTGGAAGTTTTTATTTAGGAGTTAGTTTGGAGAAATCTTAGTCCTAGGCGATATGGCAGCCTTGGAGGAGCAGCACATGACTCTCTCTAAAACACTGAAGTAAACTTCATGGTGGGAAAGCTGAGGCCTCAGCCCACGGAGCTCCATGGGTATTTCACACTCATTCTCCACATTGAAGCTTGGCCTCCCAGGTGCAACTCTTCTGTGAGGTTCTGTGCTTCACCACCACATTATGAGGTCCACACGTGCTGGCTGGCCTGGACACGTCTAACCCTGGTATGGTGCTTTCATGTGGAGCAGCCAGGTCACTGTACTTAGTAAAGCCTTTTGCACCGGCAGCAGGATCTCTTGCCTCCAAACCCTACCATTGTCCTGCAATGTCTTCTGGCTCCACATCTGACCCCACATCTGACCCCTTGTCCTGACAGTGCCCGGGTCCCAGCCATGTCAGTGCTGGCAGTTCCCAAACTCCCTGGAGGCTCCTGGCTAGTTTTGTTTCAGGGATAGGAACTGTCAAAGAACAAAATCAGGGGACCAGCAGTTAGCGTAATGGCTATGTCGCTGGACTCCCATGTAGTCAACCGCGGTTTGCGTCCCGGACCTGGTGGCTTAAAACTCACGCTGGGCGCGTGTGCGTGCGTGCCCAGGATCCCGAGAGGAGAAGGGATTGCGGCGTGGCCACCCACTCTGGGGGGTGATTTCCTCGCTTTCTGTCTCTCTGTCTCTGTCTGTCTGTCTGGCGAGTGCACGCGCCCTATAGCAAAAAAAAAACCAAACAAACAAAAAAAAAAAACAACCTCTCCAAAAAAAATAGAACAAAATCACAACAAATTGAGTTTCAAAGGTTGAATTGTTTTTATTAGCGATTCATGAACTGGGCAATACCCAGTCTGTAAGGTAGACTGGGTGTGGCTGGATAACCACCCCACAACCCCTTTATAAGGCAGCTTTACGGGGAACAAAGAAACAGCACAGTGCAAAAGGCGGACTGGCTGTCATTAGGTTACTTTGCTTGCAGGGGTTCAAGCCCCTGTTATGCTGGTTCATGTTGACTAGGTTCCTTTTGAATGGTTGCGTCAAGCTCATTTTTGCTTTTTGTTTTTGGAAAACAGACCTGTTTTGGGATTTCTTTTTTCTTTCTTTCTTTTAATTGACAGAGGGTTGGTGCACTCTCCAGAGTGAGAGAGACGCAGAGAGAGGAAGAAGGAGAAAGCACTCCCAATAAGACACAGTCACACCACAATCTCCTTCTCCATTGCTCCATCCTGTCCTGAATTGGAGCATACATACACGTGATGGCATGTTCTTAAGCCACTGGGGCCAGGCAGTAAACAACAGTGGCCATGTGGGATCAGCTCCCTTGACTGCTAGGCCATGGGACCAGCCCTGTTTGGGGATTTCTTGAGTTTTTTTTTTTGTTTGTTTCAGTAGCACTTAGCAGTAGTGCTTCCATTTTGGCTCTTAGTGTTTGTCAACAGCTTAGGGTTTTTTCAAGTTTATTTATTTATTTATTTATTTATTTTAGAGTATTTTTGCTATAGGGTGCGTGTGCTCGCCAGACAGACAGAGAGTTAGAAAGTGAGAAATCACCCCCCAGGGGGATGGCCACACCACAATCCCTTCTCCTCCATTCTCCTCTCAGGATCTTGGGTATACATGTACACGCGCCCAGCGTGAGTTTAAACCACTGGGTCCGGGACGTGAACTGCGGTCGACTATGTGGGAATCCAGGGACATAGCCATTACGCTAACTGCTGGTCCCGTCAAGTTTATTTATTTTATTCATGATAGAGAATGTGCATGAGAGAGAGAGAAGGAGCGAGAGGGAAAAGCACTCTTACTGAGGTCTTACTCCATTGGGATCCCCTCTTCCCAGCCCCCTAGCTCGTTAGGGTCTGGGCTCACACACCAGGCATGCTTTCGAGCCGAACCAGGGATCTGAACCTGCAGTCAGTCATGTGGCTTCCAGCACTGCAGTTCAGTTTGCTACTGACTGCACCACCAGGTTGCACCCCTAGTTCTTTTTGAAGCTAGGCACAGAGTGGTCAAAAACAGCTGTATCACCACCTGCCGTGTGGGAGGCCCACCCAGCCTGAGCAGCTCTCCTCCAACGCCCCCCTCTGCTGTGACCCACCCTGAGGCTTGTCAGGTCTTTTACGCAGTCACAGGCATTCAAGATGCTTCCTAAACTATTACATGGTTAAAGAGATGTGAATTAGAGAGAATTACAAGTGGGTCTTCTCTCCTCTTTGGAGACATTAAAGTTTATTTAAATAAAGGCTACTGGAATAGACAAAATAGATTTCTGTTAATTATAAAAAGTGAGAAATTGAACCTGCTAGTCTATTCTTTTTTGTCCACTTTCCTCTTATTTCACTTCAGTATTAAAGGAACAGACTTGACTGGCACCAAGTACCACAGGCTGGGCTATCGGGGCCCCACCTGGTGAGTGAAGTCTTAGCAACACATTTTCTCACCCAGTAGTTTGGGATCTGGTACCTCTGGCTTGTTGGCATCCAGGCGTGTGGCTATTTCGCCTGTCTCCTGTGAACAGACGCATGGAGTGGGTCTACAGATGTCACATTCAGAGGGAGTGTTAAAGCACATACCTCTGGCTCCCCTCAGGCGGTGTAGAACACCACATCTGTGGCACTTGAACGGGATCTTAGTCTAACTGGAAGCCTCTCAGTGCCGCTGGGGTTGCAGGTGTGGGAAGAACGCAGGTTCCTCCGGCTGCCGGGGCTGGACCCTTGCTCAGCTAGGCTCCAGAAGCCCATCTGCAAAGCAAGCCCGAGCCTGACACTGCGCACATTCATCTTCCATGCTGTTCTGTGGTCCTGCCGTGCTCCATCTTTGTTACAAGTAGACAGATGGTGGTATTTGGCCTCCTGTCAGCTTTAATGAGTATAGATAGAAGTGATAAGAACATTGCTTCATGGAGCCCATTTCCTTCTCTGTATGTGTGTGTGTGTTTTAAGTTAATATAGCGCTCACAGCTAAGCCAGGCTCTGAAGTCCTAGTTCAACATCAGGGCAATGTCCCCTCACAGTGGGAGGGGAACACAGGGTCTGTGTCTTGCAGCTGCTCCCAGAACTTGCTTCAGGTGTCAGTCACCTGTCACAAGAATGACCGAGGTGCTGCTCGGTCCTAAAGGCTGGGAGTCCTGGTGCACAGAGCCCTCTGTCACTCTAGGGACCAGGCATATCCCTGGGCCTTCTGAGAGGCTCTGATCTGCCCGTCTCCCTTCCACACACACAGCAGGTGCACAGCCATAGTAGAACAGCGTCTCAGAGGACACCAGTCTACCACATCATTCTTCTGGCGGCCGAGTTCCCCCTGCAGGACTCTGGGCTCTGCACAGCCCTCCGGGCAGTGCTCCTGCTGCCTCCAGTCGCTTCCTCTGCTCACCTGCTGCCTCCCTCCTGCTCTGCCTTCCTAGTGAGGGCCACAGCTGTCTGAGACCAGGACCCTGGAAATAAGCCTCAGACAAAGCTGTGTGTGCAGGCAATGTAAGTAGTACTCCTGGATAGGGAACCAGCAGTTAGCATAATGGCTATGTCGCTGGACTCCCACGTAGTCGACCGTGGTTCGCGTACCGGACCCGGTGGCTTAAAACTCACGCCGGGCGCGTGTGCGTGCGTGCCCAAGATCCCAAGAGGAGAATGGAGCATAAGGGATTGCGGCATGACCATCCCCTCTGGAGGGTGATTTCTCGCTTTCTGTCTCTCTGTCTCTCTCTGTCTGTCTGGCGAGCGCACGCGCCCTATAGCGGGGAAAAAAAGAAGAAGTACTCCTGGATAAACTGGGAGGTATAGAGCGAGCAGGGAAAGA